CAGTGTTATGTCATTAATCTTTTCTGCTGGATATTTAACGACTGAGGTTTGGAGACCAAAAATTAGAGAGATAAATTGGGCTAAAGGACAGTCAATATTTTGGCTGCACCCTCCGAGGTCAGTAAAGACTCAGGACATAAGAGAACCTCTGCTGTGACATCCTATAACTCGGTTGAGTCCCTGATTTTCTGATCAAGGAAAGTATTGGACCACAGAGGAAAGTGATTCTATAATATACAGTGTGCCTAAGGAGAGTCACCAGCAGGGGAAAAAAATCTCTCAAGCTTTCGCAGAAAGTAACTTGGTCAAGCAATGGCCGTGACTCAGCCAGACACCTGACACTGACAGAAGATCTAGAGATGCTGTACTTGGTTCCAAGATGATTCCTGAGGAGACTTACCTGACCCTGATAGATAGCAAAAGGTTAAATTTTTATTTATGCAGGTCTCCCTCTAATTGGGTTTTAAACATCCAGCAGAAAAGTGTAACCACAAGATGTAAAGAAGCAATGCCACAGTAATAGGTTAGCTGTAAAAGGTTCAAGTCAACAACAACCTCTGACAGTTGCCAGCTAGACTGAGAACTGACCACTGTTATGGACTTTGGACTGTATTCTTCAAGCACAGCTTTTCCAGCTTCAACTGAACACCCATCACTTCCGCAACTAAACAGAAAAGGGAGAGATGCTGGGTACATGACAGATTTTCTGTCTCAGCCCCTTCCCTGCACATTCCTTTCGGCCTTCATGAGCAGTGTGTCCTCCCGGCCCCATGAGGTACCCTCCCACCCCCGAGGGTCATTCTGTGGTCTTTGCTCCCAGAGCTGGTGGCATGCCAGCATCAGCTCCAGGGTTTGCTGCCTCCAGCACAGCAGCCTCCATGTCCAGCTGTCACCTCGGCAGGTCTCTTCCTATACCCCTCACTCTGCAGGGTCCCTTTTCACGGTGCTGGTGAGGAGCAGGGGTGGGGCTGGGCCTCCCTCCTGGGCAATGGGGAGTGGACTGCGCCAGTGGTCTGTGCAGATCGGGGATGTCTGAGTTTTCAGACATATCTTTGTGAGGTCCCCTGCTGCCCACCAGGGCCCTGCACCAGCAGAAGAGACCTGCTAAGGCACCACCTTCTCCAGGTTCCGTGCCAGGCCTCTGGCTGCAGGAGACGGCAGTGTCTTTAAGCCTAAGGAGGCTCTAACACTGTATCTGCACCTGTGATCCTCTATGCTGTTTAGTGCCTGTGGGCTTGTTTCTATCGTGTTTTGTTTTGTTTTTGTATCAGGGATTGAACTCAGGACCTTACACTTGCCAGGCAGACACTTGTGCCGCTGAGCTATATCCTCAGCCCAGAGAAATTTTTTTTTTTCTTTTTTTGGTACCAGAAATCAAACTCCGGACCTTGTGCTTGCCAGGCAGGCGCTTGTACTGCTGAGCTATATCCCCGGCCCTGGTTTTGTTTTTAAACTATTAAGTTTTTTTTTTTTTTTTTTAAGTAAAGGAAGATGGTTTATTTGGAAAAGGGTGAAAAAATGAGAAGATAGCTACTCTGGAAGAGTAGGGAGCATCACAAAGTGAATACCCCTGCTTTTGTTCTATAGTATATAAATATCTTGTGGTCAAAGGCAAAAGGCAAAAAGCTGAGTTCACAAGACCAAGTTCTGTCCTGGGCACTCCTCCCATGTGTCCCTCCCTGCGGGTGACTGTTTGCCCGTGTTTCTGGTGTGTGCCCCTGCTGTGACACGCATACTCCTGGGCAGCCCCCTGCCCCGTCCCCTGAGCAGCCCACTCCACACTGCCATGCTCCCATGTCACTGAAAAGCTGTTCTGGAGGCCCCAGCCGCCCCTCCCAGCTGCCAGCCATCCCGATGTGTGCTCCCCTGGGGACATTTGATTGTTCTCGCTGTGCCTGTGGCATATCCTGTCTGTCTTTGGGACCTGTCCCTGGACATGGGGGCACCAAACCCAGGGGGACCTATGATTTTCAAGTCTCCAGATTCCCTCCAGTCCCATACATGCCAGGGTGCCATCTGCGCAGGTGTCACTGGAATTGCTCCTCCTGGAGCACTCTCTCACGGGCTCAAGGGATGCCACTTTCCCTTTCTTGCAGTCTCTGCCTGTCTCCGGCCACATTTTCTTTGGGACTGTTGGTCTCTCTGTTTTTAGCGGCTGTTAGAGGCATTAACTCTGAAACACACTGCAAGTACTTTCCCTACTCCGCTGTTTGTCTTTCTGTTGAGGGAGCGGGGTTGCAACAAGGTTTTGCTGTGTAATTCAGGCTGGCCTTGAGCTCACTGTGTAGCTGAGGCTGGCCTCGAACTCTTGGTTATCCTCCTGCCTCAGCCTCCCAAGTGGTAGGATTACAAGCATGTGCCACCACGCCTGGCTTTTTTGCCATTTTACGATCGATGCTCTTGATTTTGTTTCAGGTGAAAGTTTTCTTTTTTAAAAATGTCAAATTGATTAATCTTTTCCCTTATAGCTGCTGGATTTTAATTCTTAATTAGAAAAGCATTTTAACTTTCTTCTTTGCCTCTCTGTCCCTGATCAGAGAAGGGGGCTATGTCCTGGCCCAGGTATGAGCGGCTGGGTGTGGCTCAGCAGCAGAACCCTGCTCAGTGTGTACCGGGCCCTGGGCGCCACCCCAGCACTGAGAAAGAAAGGTTGAGTTCTGCAGGCTCGTCCAAGTCTGTCCTTGTGGGAATGGGGCTGCCCCGTTGTACGAGGTTTCAAGCAGGGGGCCCAGTGGTGCCCCACATCCAGCGGCTCAGCCCGCTGGTGGCAGGGCCCGCCTAGGCCATACAAGGGAGGACGGGTGCGGCCTGTGGCTCTGTTTGAAGCTTGAAGAGAGTGTGCCAGGTACTGGGGCCAGGGCAAGGGCGATGGCCAGGCCAGGCCAGGCCAAGAGAGGGTGATGTCTACACCACACCGCTCAGATGCCACTTGTGGCCAAATCAAGACTTAAGTGTGGAAGGGAAAATTTCAGAGCTTCCAGGAACTAACCTGGAAAACAGCATTCCTAACTCCAGGGCCGGTGAGTGTTTTCTTAAATGAGACCCCAAGCACCAGCCACAAAGGAAAACAACACATTTGGTGTGGAAATGATGAGGCGTGGCCGGCCTGTGGTCACTGTGTGCGCCTCTGGGTCCAGGGCACACACGTCCACTCTGCTCACCCTGCCGGCCCGTGCCTGGTCTCTGGGGGTGACTCTCTGAGTCTTTGTGCCCTTTCTCCCTGCCACTTTCAAAGGGTAGTTTGGCTCAGAGACACCCTCCTCGGGGACTTCAGAGATGGGTGCCCAGCCTCCGAGCACCAGCACCCAGCGTGACTGCAGGGAGCCAGGCGAGCTCAGCCTTCGTGCTTGCTCTGCTCCCCGGCATCACGGTCTCCCCACCAAGTGCCCAGGCATGGGTCTGTGTGTGTCTCTGGGTGCCCTCGGTCTAAGAACTTACATTTTCAGTTTGGAAAAGACATTGTTAGTTTTCAAGTAGTTCCTCTCTCCCTTTCCTTTTGGAGCTCATTAGGAGAATATTGAAACTTTGGATCTGATCTCAATATCTTAAACCTGAAAACAAAAGACACACGTCCCTTTACACCTGTGAGCTTTTATCCCATTTGGTTATTGAGCTTTGGCAGGATGTGGGCCACCTTGAAGGGCTTGGTGCTTTGGGTGTAAATGTGAGTATCTCTCTCTCTCTCTCTCTCTCTCTCTCTTTCTCTCAGTACTGGAGATGGAATCTGCAACCCTTTTTATATTTTGAGGTGGTCTTACCAAGTTGCCCAGGCTGGTATTGAACTTTGGCCCCTCCTGCCTCAGCCTCCCCAGCAGTGAGTCACTATGCCAGCTTGGATGCATTTTCCGTAGGGAAGGGCTTTGTAGAAGCTTCTAGCCTTAGCACTTCCCTAATGCTTCCCTCCCAGAAGGTGTCTGTCCTCACAATTCTCCATCCAGGACGGTGGGTGGAGGCCCCTCGCTCAGCCTACCTGAAGCTTCTTTGACAGAGGCTTCCCTACTCTGCACCCCCTCAGTCGTGGCCCCTGGAGGCCACTCGCCACTCTTCTGAGCCCAGAGCCTGGTGCCCCCCCTTCCTCACTGCATTGGAGTCCATGGCACCTTTCTTGTCCCCCACCTTCACACAGCAGTCCCAGCCATGTTCCTCACAAGGACAGAGGACAGGAGATGAAGGCAGAGCCGGAAGGCAGAGACAAGAAGCCCACCTGTGCAGCAGGAGGACGCATGGCAGGCAGGCGTGGACACGGGCTGCACCCTCCCACCCCCTCGCAGCCTCCTCACTGGTGTCTGGAGCCCCTTGGCCCGAAGCTCCTCGTCTTCGCCCGTGACACACTTTCCTGTGCTGGCCCTTGGAAGTCTCCAACCTGGCCCGACTCTCCCCGCCCCCAGCCTGTGTGGCAGCAGAAGCACTGCTCTCTGCGGAGAACTCAGCTCAGCACTGAGGCTGCCCCCCACAAGCACAGGAAAGGAGAGAGGGTAAGGAATTTTGTAGGACCTGGAGACCTCCGGAGACACCCAAAGACTTACAATGGACACTCCAAGGTCTTTGCCCACGGGGATACAAGGCTGCCAGAAAGCTTTAACCACAGATGTTTGTTGAAACTACCCCTGCCCTCCCTGCTTCCTTATAAAAGGGCACATTTCTTGTGGTTCAGGGCAGACAGCTCTGTTGCTCTCTGCCTGCCTGCACCCAGGTTATTAAGCACACTCCTAGTTGCTTTCACTAAAGCCTGTCGTTTGGTCTCTTGCCTGGTGTTTTGTTAGACCCCTGTGTCCAAGTGGTGACTGGGCTGGGCGCCCGCCTGCCCACCATAGCCATGCACACACACCGAGACTGATCCCCAGGGGTGGCCAGGGCTTCAGAGGACTAGGTGGCTCCTCACTCTAGCAGGTCCCTCCCGGGGGCTCTGTGGCCCTGACTCTGCAGGGTTCTGCTCCATCTTGGCCGCTGAAACAAGGGGCCGCGAGCCCAGGCGCAGAGGTGGCAGGAAAAGACACCAGGACAGACACAATGCCAGTTTATTGCAGTGGGCTGGCTTGGCCCCTCCCACTGGCCCCGAGGTATGCGGCCCTCTGTCCCAGGTCCCTCCAGCAGGCAGGCTGTGGGGTCCCGACATGGGCAAGTGGCCACCTTGTCTGATGCAGCTCCTGGGCCTGGCCTTGCAGACAGACCTCTGCGCCCTCGATGCCATCAGAAAGGGTGAGACCTGAGGGTCTCCCAGGACAGGACCCCCATTCAGCACCCTCCTCCAGTGGGCTCTCGTGGGTCCAGACCTCTCCATGGTGTTGCAGGGAGGGGGAGGTGAGGCAAGGGAGCCCCACCTGTCTTTGTGGGCCCCAGAGCTGGTCCCCAAAGTCCTCATGGTCAGTGATGTGTGCCCTGGCTCCGGTGGTCGGGGCAGAGCCCTCCAGCAGGGCCCTATACGAAGGGGGCCGTGGGGGCCATGGGTGAGGGCACGCAGGCTGTGGTGCAGCTGCACGTGTCCACCTGGGTGTAGGTATGCCGGATGGCCGTGCCGTCAGGACACTGCAAGTTCACGGCCTGCTGGTGGGTCCTGCTCTCCTGGCAGCAACTGCACTGGTGCTGCATAGTCTGGGCCTCCATGGAGTACCTGGGAAGCAGTGTGGCTGATGAGGCGGCCCCTTATCCACCACGGCCCTGGGTGGCTCCCCTCCCACATGCTCAGGGCCCCTTGGGCCTGGCCCTGCCTCTGTGGCCCCTTTCCTGAGCCCACCCCTCCCCTGACCCCGACGGGCCCCACCTGTGGATACCTCTGCCTCTGGACACTGCTCCTAGGCCTCCAGCCCCCCGACTCCCTCCTGCCCCTCTAGCCGCTCCTGCACACAGGGGGCCACAGCTTGGTGCCCAGAGCCAAGGTGCCTGCTGCCCACGTGGCTCTGCCCGGCTGGCAGGGCCCAGCTTAGGGTCTGTGCAGATGGACAAGGGAGGCTCTGCAGGAGCACCCCCTTTCCCACAGCCTGCACACAGGCTGAGGGCCGGGAGGCCAGGCACCCACTTACTTAGACGCTCCAGGGCAGGAGCCCTCGCAGAAGGTGACAGTGACCACAGCCTCACAGCCCTGGTGCCGCAGGACGGTCACATTGGCATGGACTTGGCATGCATCTGGGAAGATGACAGGCAGTGCTGAACCCATGGCCCCTTGCTGAGACCCGGCTGGGTACAGCCCACCCTCCAGGAGGAGCAGCCCCCTTTAACCTGGGGCTCAAGTGGGCTCAGGGTGCCAGGGTCCCACTGCTGCCTAGGGCAGAAAACTGGGCAGCTTCCAGCAGAAACCCCGAGTGGGACTGGACAGGCTGCGTGGGAAAGTGCCTCAGTTTACCCTCTTCCTCCTCACAGGTGTAGCAGCAGCCAGTTCTTCTGAGGATCCCCTGCAGGGCCAAGCAGAGGGAGTGGAGCTAGAGGCAGAACTGGGCCTAGGGTGGGGTCACGGGGCAGGGATTGTGGGGTCTGAGCTCTGCAGGGAACAGGTGGGGCTTCGCTGGGTGGGTCCGGGAAGGGCTGAGCCCCTGGCACACACCCTGCAGAGGGGCGCGTGTGTGCAAGGCGTGGGCTGCGGCATCAGCACAGGGATCCCGCTCTGGGCCTCACACAGGTACTCGGTGCAGTTGTCCCCACGGCTGTCGACCCAGGTCTCGTTGGGCTGAAATGCAAGGCAGAGGGTGGAGCCCGCATGGCATCGGCTCGGGGCCAGCCCCACCAGGCCCCTGGGCAGGGCTCCAGAGTTCCGCCCTCACCTGCACCGTCCGGCCCTCCGGAGTGAGGCAGGCAGTCTGCACGCAGTTCCCACAGCACTGTCCGGCCTCCCTGGAGTGCACAAAGCCCTGGGGGCGCAGGAAGGTTGTCAGGTCTCCGTCAGCCCAGCCTGCCCTCCTGGCCACACCCTAGGGGCCCAGGGCCGTGTCCCCTCCCAAAAGTCCAGCTCAGCCTCCCCTCCCCTCCAGTACTCCCTCTGTCCACTGCTGCCTCCCAGAACCTGACCCGGCCAGGGTGCCCTCTGCCTCCAGGCCGGCTCCACACCCTCCCTCCAGAGAGGCCAAACAGCTGTGTGCACCTGGGGGCAGGGGGTGCACGTGTCCTCCTCACACTGCACGGCTGGCTCCTGGCTGGCTCCGGAGAGGCAGGTGCACGTGTGGCAAGGAGTGACCCCTGGGAAGGTTGTACCAACCTACAGAGGACATGGGGTGGCACCAGGACACTGGATGCTCGGCTGTGCCTGGGCTGAGCACAGGCCCAGTGGATGGGAACGCTTCTGCTGAGCGTGCCCAAGGCTGGCTGAGCCCAGACACGACGTGGGGCCCAGCTCTGCAGCACGCAGCAGGAGGGGAGGCTGCGTCCTGGCCCAGGGCCCGCGGCCTGTCTGCACTTGGACAGAATGTGGAGCCCCGGTGGACACACGGACCGGGCCTCTCACCCCCCGCCCCGCCCTGCCCCACCAGAGGCCCTGCCTGGCGGAGCACTTACCCCGTAGACCATGCCATTGTACTCACACAGCTGTGGCTCTGGAAGGAAAGGGCCGAGCGTGGCAGTGTGGCCAGCACAATCCCTCCTCACCGGGAGCTCCGATGGCCGGGCCCACCCCGCCCCAGCCCAGCCCTCCCAGCTCACGGCAGCGGAAGGTGGGACAGCAGTGGCCTTCCTCGTGGATCAGCTCCTGGCCCGGGGGACAGGTGGGCAGGGCCTGGCGGCAGGTGGTCACGTTGCAGACTGCAGAGATGTGGGGCCTGTCAGGGTGTTGCCTGCTAGCCTGGGACTCCCCAGCCCTGGCTGGACTGGTTTCCAGTGTATTTTCCCTCGGGGGCTGGTGTACTCCGTGCATCACCCCCAGGCCCCAGGTCCCTGGGCTGTCCCTGAGGTCATGAGCCTCACTTTTAGGTGGAAATCAGAAGCAGGTGACCGCCCCATGGTCCAGCAGGACCCGCTGCCTCTTCCTCCTCCCTCCTCTGCCCAGGTGCTCACCACACAGCGTCTCGGGGCAGCAGGGGCTGTTGGCCTGCGGCCTGGTCACGGTCACAAAGCCGTCCTGGTCGCACGGTGGGGCGGGGCCTGGGGCCTCACACCGCACGGGGGTGCACTGCACCGATACGGAGGCCGCATCACACACGCAGGCCTGGCAGCCGCTGACCCATCGCTGGCCGGGCTGGAATAGACAGGGCGGGTTCGAGAGCCTCGGCAGCCCAGCGTGAGGAGGGCAGGATGGGCACCCCAATCCCATGGGGTGCACCCCTCTCCCTTCCCTTCTTAGCCCCCATGGGGCGGGGCAGTGGGGCAGCACCACTCACAAACTTGGGGAGTCCGTCTGGCCCCACGCAAGCTGGAGGGAAGGAAGAGAAACAGTCACAGGTGCCAGGGCCCTGAGGGTGGGGCCAACAGGGCCGAGCCCCCACAGCCCTGGGGAGCTCAGGGCCGAGAGGCTGATGGGGCGGGCTCGGGGCCGGCACATGGAGAATGCGGCTCTCGGGGGCCCTCCAAGTGGCGGCGTGGAGCAGTGGGCTGGGAGCAGGGCAGTGAGAGTCACGGGGCTCAGGGTATCTCCCTGCACGTCAGGGCCCAGCAGGGCCCCAGGCCTCACTGTGGCCACTCCCGCCCCGTCCAGAACAGGGCCCTGTGGTGCAGGTGGCGCTTACGGCATTCCGGCACGCAGATGTCCTTGTGGGAGCTGAAGAGAAGCTGACCCTCAGGGCAGAAGCAGCCCTCGGCCAGCCCCCAACTCAGGGGGCTCTGGTTCCTGCGGGGCCGGAAGAGTGGATCTCTGAGCCAGAACAGGCTGCCTGAGGGTGGCCAGGGTCCTGGGCCAGGCCAAGGGGAGACCGTCCTCTGTGGGCTTGGCTGTGACTGGCCCAGGAGCTGGTGGCCCCCGGTTTGGGCATGCATGCAGTCCTGCCCTCCAGGCCCAGCCTCCCCTCCCCCTCCCCTCCCCCTCCCCACTCCCCATGCAGAGGGGCTCTAGTGCCGAGTACCTGGAGTCACAGGAGGCTGGCTGCACAGGGCCACATGGCTGGTACACCTTGGTGGCTGGGCAGGGGAGCTCTGCTGGCACACAGATGGGTGTCAGGGAGGCACCTAACAGCTGGGAGGCTGCGCCCCAGGGCTACCCTGCTCACCACACAGCCCGCTGGTGGCATTGCGCCAGTCTGTGCACACGCCCCGGGCTCGGCAGAGGGCTGCGTAGGCTGCCAAGCTCTCGCAAAGCACCTCCACGAGGCTGGCTTGGCAGTGGTCTCTGACGCAGCTGCTGAAGAAGGAGTCGGGCGGGATGAAAGTGTGGCACTCGGCGAAGACCCTGGGAGGGGGTCAGGGCTGGGCCTTAGTGCCTGGCAGCAGCCTGGCTGGCAGAGGCACCCAGGCCCACACCAGCCCCTGGAGCAGAGGACTCACGGGCTCAGCAGCAGCTTGCAGAGGGGCCCTGGGTGGCAAGGGGTGGAGGTGGTGGCAGTGGAGACGCTGGGTGCTGGGGGCTGGGGGCTGGCACTCGGGGGCGGGCTGGTTGGTGGCCTGCAGCCCTCTCCGCCGCTGTCAGGCACCTGCCAGGACAGGGCCATGTCCCGGCAGGTGGGTGCTATGGTGCCGGCCGGCAGGCGGCAGTCATCACTCTGGCTGTTGGTGCAGGTGCCTGGGGGAGCGGGGGGTGTTGCTGAGGAATCTGAGAGCCGCGGGCCCTTCGCTCCCGCGTGCACACAGGCCTGTGGCAGCCCTGCCGGGGCGGGGAGGGGCACTCACCACACTGGCCCTCTGTGTTGTGGCTGAAGTGGCTGTAGGACAGCCAGAGCTGGAAGATGCTCCCGGTGAAGGCGATGCTCACGCCCACGGCCGGAATGGCGACGTGCATGCTGGTGGCCGCAGTCACGGAGACGCTCACACCGTTCTTGCTGAAGCCCCCTCTCACTGGCACTTGGTCGAACAGGATCTGGGGCATCCAGGGGACCCATAGCCAGGCAGGCCCAGCACCGTGGAGGCTGCTCTGGGGCTCTGCCTCAGGATGCCCCCAGCTCAGAGTCTCCCTTCCGGGCGTCTGTACCCGTACCCACGCCCCACCCCTGCCCCATGAGCTCACCAGGCTCTCCTCCATCCCGCCAGTGCCAGGGGCAGTGGTGAGGACAATCTCCATGGACTCATAGAGCACTTGGAGGGCACGGGGACAGCCGGCGGCGGGGACAGCGACACCACAGTAGTGGCTGTACATGAGGATACTCAGGTTCCCGTGGCGCGGGCGGATCTCCCTCATGAGGATGTAGGTGCAGTTGCCCAGGAAGGAGTATGTGGTGCCGTCGAATGTGGAGTAGTGCGAGTGCCCCCACCAGCTGCAGGAGCCTGTGGGACACCACAGGCTGGAGGCCCCTTCCTGGCCTCCCATCACGCCGCACCACCACGTTACCTCAGGAGCCACACACACCCTTGGGCCTCAGTTGCCTCATCTATAAAATGGGTGTCATGGCTTCACTGTCATCCTCCCAAATCTATGTCCACCTTGGGCCCGGGAATGTCACTCTGCAAGTGGCAGGGAGGGGCTGTCTGAAGGGCCTAGGCAGCCCTAAACCCAGTGACAGTGTCCTAAGGGGCAGAGAGGGCCAGACACGGAAGGAGGCCACAAGGACGGGCAAGGGCTGGGGAGGCCAGGGCACCCAGCGTCCTTGACTGAGCCCGTCAGGGTGGGCTCAGGCCGGTCGTCAGGACCCAGGAACGGAGCTGCAGAGCCCCTGTCATGGCCTTGCTGCCCAGGCTGGCTCAGTGGGCACTCTGCCCTCCTGTGTGCTCACATTCGCACTCGTGGTGGGGCTGGCAGGGCCGGCTCTCCTCCCACACTTTGACAGGCAGGTGCTTGTTCACGCAGCTCACGTTGGCCACAGGCTCTGGTGGCAACAGGACCACCTGATTGTTGCCCTCACACCTGGCCACTGTGCAGTTGTCCAGTGTCCAGGTCTCGTTCACCTGGATGGGGAGAGGTGGGTGCTCCCCTGGGTGTTCATGCGGCCCAGCCCGTGCCCCAGCCCACCCCACCTGCAGCGCAAGAGCCCCATGACCCTGAGCTGCTGGCTGTGACCCCATCTGGCGTGCATTCCCCTGACTGCAGTTACCAGGGAGGGTGACCCAGCCGGGCCAAGGGCCTGGGCAGGGTACGTGGGCATCGGCAGCCCTGGCCGGCTCAGACCATGCCCACAGCAGGGGGAGGTGGAGGGACAACGAGGCCCACCTGTCGGGGAGGGACGGCGTTGTCACAGCCAGGGGGTGGGGAGGGTGTCGACACAGGGACGGAAGACACCGGTGGAGAGGATGTGGGACAGGCACCCTGGAAGCGGTCAATGTCACAGTGCTGGTTGCAGATGGCAGAGAAGTGGCACCCAGCTCTGTCAGTCTTATTATAGATGACATCCCCTGTGCAGGAGAAAGCTATTGGAGGACCCAGCCACAGCCCAGGGAACAGGTAGGCCAGTGGCTGGGACGGCAGTGAGGCGCACAAGGCTGACAGATGGGGTAGAGATGCAGGAGGACGGGGCATAGCAGGGCAGTGCAGGGCCGCCTACTCACCTGGTGAAAACAGCTGTCCAAACACTCGGCAGAAGCAGGGCGACGGAGAGGCAATGGGGCTGAGTGTGGGGAGACTGGAGGAGGGAGCCACAGACGCACTGAGGGTCAGCAGGCTGCTGGTGGGGGGCGCTGGGCTGGGGACAGTCCTTGGGGTGGAGGAAGGAGGCACGAAGGAGCGGCTGGCTGTGGGCGAGGTGGCCCTGGTCGTCAGCGCTGTGGTGCTCTGGGCAGGCAGTGGGGCAGTGCTGGATCTGCTGGCCGTGGGCGAGGTGCCCATGGGCAAAGTGGCTGCGGTGGTCAGGACTGCACTGGTGCCTGGGAACCCCGAAGTACTGCGGAGGTGGGCGGTTGCAGGTCTTGTTGGGGAAGGGCTAGGTGGAGCTGGCCCAGGGGTGGTGGCTGGGGTCACAGGAGTCCACAGCCTCGACGTGTGGGGAAGGCGGGTGGTGGACGCTGGCGGCACAGAAAGACTCTGGGGGATTGTGGGGAGGCTGGCGCTAGTGCGGGTGGTGGTCCCTGTGGAGAGTCCTGGCTGTGTCCATCCTCTGGTGCCCAAGGTGGCAGGGGCCGTGGTATGCGGAACAGACGATGGCGTGGAGGCAGTGGACAGGGTGCCAGGGCAGTGGCTACGGTCGCAGCAGAGCACGCGCACATTGTAGTTGAAGCACATGGTAAAGGTGCCCGTCTGGTCCTCGTTCCTGCACACCAGGCCAACATGCAGGCTACAGGCCACCACCTGCCCGATCTGGTCAATGCTCACCTCAGGGTAGTTCTCTGCCCGACACTCAATCTTCTCCGGAGCTGGGCACAGATTGCCCCCAGCAGCCTTGATATTTTCGTAGGTCTCCATGTCCCCACCAGGGATCCCTGATGTGGGAAAGTCCACGTCGAACCACTCTGTCCACTGGCACCGGGGCTGGCAGCGGGTCGTGCCCTGGCTGGTAGTGGCCTCGGTCGTGGTGCCCGCGGGCGTCTGTGTCCTGCCTGTGCTCACCTCGGTGTGGGGTGTGGATGGGCGCAGCGTGTGTGTCGTTTGCACCAGGCTTGTGGTCAAAGGTGCCGTGGACA